ATAAATATATTTATATTAAAGAGAAATCTTTATCAAATAAAAATTAAAAATTATGTTTACAAATAATCTTACTTAAAAAAATAAATATCTATTTTTACTAGAAAAATATTACGGTCGAAGCTGGATCTTCATTGCTTTAAATAATTCAATTTTGAATTATTAATATTCACTATATATGTACTTGCATATATACCATATTGAAATCTTTTTAGAACTGCGCGCCGAATTGTTTTTCCAGACTATAAACGCAATTAAAACTACTTTAGTAACTTTAGTAGCGAATTAAATTGACAACCAATTTAATAATTTGATGCTATCATCAAGCATATTATAAAAATGTAAATATGTTGAAATGTAAATATGTTGTATAATAAATTTATTAACAATTTCAACATATGAACATCTTTATAATATGATCAAATAGCATCAAATTATTAAATTTGTTGTCAATTTAATTCGCGGTTACTAAAATTCGGCGCGCAGTTCTAAAAAGACTTCAATATGGTATATGCAAGTACATATATAGTGTATATTAATAATTCAAGATTGGATTATTTAAAGCAATGAAGATCCCGCTTCGACCGTAATAGGCATTTTTCTAATATTGATTGTGATGTTTCTCAGTACGCAGTCTAAAATAAAAATTCTTAATATTGTTTATATCTTTAATATGTAAAATAATAAACATTAAAAATACAAATAAATAATTATAAATAATTATCATTATATATTTCAGAATTCTTAAATATTGAAATGTTATTCTTTTAAAATTCAATTATATACATGTAAGTTATTTATAATTGGATTTGAATTTTTTATATGCATTAAAAATATGTTTTTTAAATCAGATTTTTAGTAAATATAATTTTAAGTTTTTATAATCAAAAATCTATCTTTAATAAGTATTCTCTTTAGTAAGTACCTAATTATTTTTGTTTTGCTTCTATATATTAATTTGTAGATACTGTTATAGTATTCAAATTAATGAGATACTTTATTTTTTTTTTAGTACCGTTTTCTATTTATTTTAGTACCGTCCATTACAGATTAAAATGTAAGTGAAGCTCACTAGTGCGCTTAATCTTATTACCACAGTTTGTTAGTTACTTCCTCGTTTATTAATAATAACATGTTCTCTTCGTACCATATTTATCTGACTGTCTCGGAAGTACATCTTCACATACATGGACATCTGCATAAGCAATCGGAACCGGAACCGGGCGCGGATGTGCACACGCGTGTATGCGCAGCGATGTGTATGCAGAACGTGCCGGTATAAAAGCTTAGAAAATACGCTGGTAAGTTGCAGTTCTCACCTGGCCGCCTCAAATATCGTAATGGTGAAGATGACTTTCAAGGTAGAGTGTCGAAACTCGTCGCGAAGGAAGGAAACGTGACGCGGATCAGAGAAAGTGCTCGTTAAAGAACAGCTCCGCGACGAAACGATAGAAACAGATAAAGAAAGAGATAGAAGGAGAAGGAAAGAAAAAAGAAAGCAGAAAGAGAGAGTGAAATATAAAGGGTTAAAAAAGAAATAAAGGTGAAGGGCGATGAATTCTAAATTGCCATTAATTACGTACATATATAATTGACCCGGTAATATGCTTAGAAGGAAGTAAATAATTCGACCGGGAAGGTAGCTCAACGCGGTTTTCTCGGAGAGTTAAGCAATGTCGTGAATGTAAAATGAGATTAAAGTGTTCCTTGATATTAAGTCTACTCGATGTAATTAGTTCGTTCAGCTGGATTGCCACGAGCGTAAGTTTTTGCAAAAGATATAGTATACGTTTCACAGCAGAACAGGGCGTACTCAAGAGATGGTAAGGATTCTGGAGTTGGACTTCATGAAAATTAAAAAGTGCACGCTGACTTCTAACAAACGTTTCTCTTTAATTGTATTAAGCGCTCATTCTTTTGTGCTCAGCTAATCTTGAAGTCTTCTCAACCTCAGAGGTCTTATGTTAGTTGTTTTATTATAGCTAAGAGCTTCTATTATTTTCTTACGTACATGTGTGTGTATACGAGTGAATACACTTTCTCCTTATATATTTTAACGAACTCGCATTTTACTTCTATTGTGAGAAAAACTGATATTAAGAGCCACAAAAGCTTTTAAGTTATTATTCTGATGATAATTGTGTAAAATTGTTTATTATATTAAACTTGTTTATTATATATGCTTCAAATTTTTCGCAAATTATAATATAATATTTATATATTACTTTTTGATAATATTACATTAAGTATACATGATATTGTGAAGTTTCTCGTAACTCGACGAGTGCATGTAAAATCTTACATAGTACATTTTAACATGCACATATTCTATCTCTTTTCGCATATATTCTACTATATTCCTAACTTGAGCGTATACTTATGTATGCAATAATGCAAACTGTACTTCTCCACATGCATTTTACATATATAATTATTACATATAAAACAGTGTCTGCATGTTGCATTAGTTAGTTTTGACAAAATTTACATAAAATAAAATGATAATTCATGCTTATATCTTATCGCTAGTAACATAACAATATTTTCAATCAAGTACCAATTTTGAATAATTTACGATATATTATGTTTATCGTTTTACGCTGCGTGTTCAATTTTGCTCGAAGATAATATAATAATCTGCTGATTATATCAATTTATAATTACAAGTTAAAAGATTTTAATATCAAGTGAAATACTTTAATTTTTAGTTGCTGAGGCTGATGAAGCGGAAAACAGTTTTACTGAAATATCTAAAAGTTCAGCTAGATATAAATCTGAAAATAATTCTGTTTGGACTACCAAAATATTGTAATTATGCAGGACACTCAAGTGCCTCAAGCTAGTTGCTGGAACTTTAAAACTTATTGCAGCATTGTCATCACGCTCAGGTTCTCTAAAAAAATTATTATGATGGTCCAACAAAATTATTTTCAGATCTGTATCCAGCACAATGTCAGGTCTTTTAACATAAAATCGTCCTTTTCATGTAATAATGTTAATTAGAATTAATTTAATTAACCTATTAATTTTTAATTAATTATATAAAATATATTTCGCCGTTTATTCTGAAAGAATGATTTTGAAGTATCTAAAAACTAGATACAGATTTAAAAGTAATTTTGCTAGACCATCAAAATAATTATGTACGGAATTCAAACATAATGAGCAATGCTGCCAAAAGTTTTGATATTCTGATAATCAGCTTGAACGTCTTTTTATAATTATGTAAATTTATACAGCTAAATTTTTAGATATTTCAGCAAACTCATTCTTTTCATGTACGAGCAAAGACGAAGAAACTTTCTCCGATGAATTGTACGTCCATTTCGCTCTTTCAATCGAGTCACTTCCATCGTATTGGTTTACGTTGGTTTGAACATTGACGACCGAGCTGTCAGGATCCCCGTAATTAAAAACGAGAGGTCGATGACCCGGCCATCGCTACTCGATGTCGATGTATATTGTAAATGTCTAGAGTTTCATCATGGGATCGAGTGAGTTTTGTATACACAAGCGACATCGATCGTATAGATTACGGTTACAATTTTCCGTGCAATTTTGACTCATCCAACATATTTTATCAACTTGAAATATTCCACCTTGTTTGACTGTTTATACAGGTACACGAAAAAAGTATCTGACACTGGAACACATAAAAATGTTTAAATCATATCTTTCTTCGCTTGGCAATTCCTTCCCGTCAATCGATTTTATTCTGCAATAAAATTTTTTCTAAAAGAAGCTTTTTCCCCATAAATAAAAAAAATCGCAATGGGCCAGGAAAATTATGAAGACGGGTAAATATATCCAGCGCTCATGTAAATGAATTCTTCGGTTCATAACGCGCGCTATTTACAATCATGATCGATAACTACCAGAGCATCGAAAGCCCCTTTTGCCGTGTCGAGAGGTGAATCTCCGGACAACATGACACCATCGACATGAACTTCTTGTGTCGCAGGTCACCATCGCACTAACCATTGGCCTCGCCCTGGTCGATCGATCAATTGCCGGCGTGATACCGCTGGACCATGATCATCATGTCTCGCTGGCTAGCTCGTACATGCATTTTCAAGGGCCAGTACAGGGACCTGAATACGAGGTGAAAGTGCCACACGTACCTGTGGACCATCTTAGTGAGCACAACTTTTTGGGCCACCACGAGCATCGTCATCACGACGGTTACACGGTCGACTATGTGGCGAAGCCAAAGTACGAATTCTCATACGGCGTCGAGGATCATCATACCGGCGACTTTCACGGCCAGAAGGAGTCCAGTGATGGTAAGTGAAAAAGGACGAGTCACTTTTATGCTTCCGTGACTTTCGCGGGACGACAATGTGACGAGCCGAGTCTTTGAATGGCCGACTACCTGTGGCTACGTCGTTTATCCGATTTCCACCGGCGCCAGCACGACGTTTCGCTGACGTCGGCAAAAATTGCCATGAGTGAAAAGAAAATTGCATTTCTGCGAAGACTGTCCGCGAGTGCACCCTCCGACACATCAAGAATACGCGAGCCAGTATGCGCGAATGCTTATGCGTACGTGTATGGATGTGAGTGTATGTACATTTGTGTCAACTCTTCAGTTGGAACTACGTTTTCTTACTTGAGTTGTGAAGTTGACTCGAATTGTAAACTGGCTTCAACGGTACATCGGTACGATATCGTACAAGCGTGCTATGTCGAAGTATAAACTCAAACTCAAAATAGACCAAACTTTACAAATACATTTCTTAATCAAGTTGGAATCAATTCTTCTTTAATGAAAGAAAGTATTCAATTTTTTTAACTACAAGCGATTGAAAAACATTTCGGGAATTACGCTTAAAAAATTCAAATAAATAAAAACGTCTGCACTTTAAGCAAATTTTGTTTGAAGAGAATTTTTTGAGTTTTAATTAATGTCACGTATGTAATGTAAATATAAAATAAAATTATAATAGAAGAGCATATTCCTTATTAAACCTTCATTTAAAAAAATTAGTTTTGAATTAATTAAAAGATACGTATGCAAAGATTCAAACATTTCATTAAACATTTCATTTAACATTTTGCATAACTACGTAAAAGTGGAATTATTTAAAATTATATACATAATATTGAGATAATTAAATATTGTACGCGATTCTAATGAAATAGTTTCTAAAATAAATTTAAATTTTTATTGTCATGCATAACAATTGAAAAAGTAAAGAAATACTAGAAATTAATAGACAATATTTTATATAGATTGCTCTAATTCTATTTTAGAATTATTTTACATCAGAAAAATTTGTTTCGTTAAACAGAATTTTTCTATAAAATAATTATTGATAACATAAAAAGTTATTATTAATCTCCAGTTTGCAATTTGAATTTTTTTTTGCCACGAGCGAAATTTTACTCCCAAACTTCGAAAAGAGAGTGGAATCCGGTTCCCTTATTGCTACGTTATACATTTTTTAACAAATTTCTACTTTTACCTCATTTTTGCTAAAATTTCAACTTTTATTAAATACAGGTTTTAATATTTGTGTTAAAAAACTATTTGGTAATGAAATAGAGAAGTTAAAAAATTACCCTGAATTTTTCCATATTTTTTAAAAGCTTGAATAGTAAAAAACTTGGGTTGTGGACAAAAAAGAATCAGATTTCGAGCAGAGAAAGTAAAAATATAATAACATCAGATGGAGAAGATTTAACCATTTTTCTATCTCCAGTTACGGTTATCCACAATCTCGAACTGCATCAAGAAACTCCTTTCTACCTCTTGAAGACTATTTCTTTTACGCAGGACACGGCGTGACCGGGGAGTATACCGTGAAGGATCCGGGTGGCAGCCTCCGGGTCGTTTCCTATCACGCAGACAAGGAGGGATTTCACGCAGTAGTACACACTACCGGGAAGAATGATCATTCAGGCGGAGTCTATGGTGGTCAAGGACATGAGACCCAAGATCACCTACATGAATACGCCGCGTTATCCGCGCACGCTGCAGCATTCTGAAAGAAAACTATAGCGACTACCATGACAACTGGTGACTGATCGTTTTTGTATGTACCTGGCACGATTAGACTTTTCCTTTGCCGAATCGTCAACGTTGATGTTTCCGTTTTGTATACCAAAGGTAACAACGGTGCTGTCCGTCCGACATTACACGCAAGGATAATGTATCGTATATTTGTAAATATATAGTTTATCCTTCTTATACACGATAAACGACATAAACATGATGGAAGAATACATGTTTATTCTTTTTGTGTTATATAAGCAGCAGTATGCCCTGCTTTTCCAGTATAGAAAATTATTGACAAAAAATGATAGACACATAAAAACTATATGAATAAACTATATGAATAAAAATTTACAAGATTAATAAAGGTTTCCGATGAATAATTAACGTTTCACTTAATTGAAATAACGTGACCAAAAATATTTTTTAGTATTCCTATTCTTTTATGCATAAAACTCTTTTTATATTTATCGAAAACCTTTTAATTGATTAACATTTTAATCGAGCGCTCGAGTTTATTTGAAAACTCTCGTTGAAATGAGTGAAAAGTTAAATATACAATATAAGCCACCCGCAAGTTATAATTACTCAATTTGCGAGAATTTCTGCGCTTTACTAAAATTACTCGATGGCCCGAATTCTGACCGGATTCGTTAAAAAAAACAATATAAAATATTTGAAAAATATAAAACATTTTTAAAAATACAATAAATTGATCATTTTGTAGTCCCAATTACAATATTTATTATCGAATTTATTTTCGAAAGGACATTAACACTACTATTGTTTATAACATTTACATAAATTTTGCATGTGTTTAAGAATTTGACAGACATTGAAAGGTATATTTTATTATTTCGAATTATATAGTACTTTATAGTAAAAACAAAGTGACGTGTATCTAAGCTTATTAACTGATACACAGCTGATCTGATTATAAAAGGTATACGAGAACTATATCTCAACATGTTACATAGCAGCTCAGAAAGATAAAGTGACAGTGATGATACACGCGTGGTGCATCGCTTAAAGTTATGCTGTAAATTATCTGTCGCATTTGAGTGGGAAGCGACATAATGTGTATATATTGTAATAACATGGAGGTCGCATTGTTGTGAGATAGAGCATCTTATTATGCGACTATCGATGATTAATATCAGGAAACTGTGTGGCAGAAGATCTGCGAGCAATACATGTAACGAGTGGAGTATTGAGCACTAATGAAAATAAACTGCTCGTAACAGAGGAATACGGGTGATAACTTTTAACGTTCTTAAATGCGAGGAGATTCCAATTGTCACTGATCACGTGAATTATCGAGTAACGAGTGGCGCAAGGTTGATTGCTGGCGAATGAAAATCCAGGTCATAGAATTGAATTATCCATTGAATATTATGGGCGTGCAGACTAGAAATTAAAAATCATCGTTGGCGATGTTGTTATAAAGTAACCACGAAAAAAAGCACTTCCTTTCGTATGTTTAACAAAGAGTTAAAAAGCTCATTTAGATCCACCCTCTCTTCTCTTCTCTTTTTTTCCCTTTTCTCTTTCCTTTCTTTCTCTTACAGCGCACGGTTTCGTGTTACTAATATACTAACAGAAGTTCTTGTAATTATTACTTTTAAAAAAGAATAATGCTTTTAAAGTAAGCAAAAGAAATACGCGTTTTATTTATGAAAAAGCCACGTACTGAACATTTGCAAAACAAATATCATATATAAATAAACATCATAAATGATGTTTTGCGAACGCTAAACGTAATAAATTTCGAGAACACAACAAATGGAAGGTGAGTCGAGAATGCTGTAAAACAAACCAAAAAACAGAAAGATATGTTTTGCAAGTTGCAGAATAGAAAAATTTATATATTTTTTTATGTATGAGTCGCAAGAATCGAATATTTAAAGATGATTCTTCTGCAGTAATAATTCGGGAAAAGAAGAGGAAGATTTTCATTCGATTCATTTAATTCGATCTTATTATGTTGGGACAGGCAAAGATGAGCACATCGTTAAACTGCATCTTGCGCAATCTCTCTGATAATAACAAAATATCATTATCAAGAATGTTTTGAGGAAAAATGCTTAATCCCATCGAGGATATTGCCGAAGCAATAGCGCACACGACTTAGGGGAGATAAAAGAAATACATTCTCGAGCTAACAATAGTGAACATATGCCGATGCAGAAGTGCTTGGGGAGAAACAGAAGGTGAAAATTCGCACAACAACGTTAACGTTCCCAATATTACGTCATTAAATCGATATCGATTAACGTTTCCGATAAATATTCGCAACACACGTGTTGCAATGAATCAGCAATGTACATTTATACACACAATAACTGACGAATCTCATATCGATAAGACTAAATACCGATGGTGGAAAGTGTCTAATAATTTTATCCGTGTGTTGCTTAAAACTTACGCTCGCGTGACATCGAAATCGCGTCGCCCACCTTACGTGCCCTCGTCGTTGCCCTCGTCGAACGGTCGCGATAACGACTTATATGTAGATATTTCGAGGGTGTTTCCAACCCCTGAGAGTCGGCCGCCTGCAGCAATTTCCGCAATATCGCGCGAGCTACTAATTACTGCTGGCATCGCGATGATTATTGCTCCCGCTGCTCGCACCTTCAACAAATCGCTCGTCTCAGGCTGATCAAGCCCCCCCCCCCCCGCTACCGTGACATAAATGTCGTATACTATCTGACAAAGGAGAGTTTATACGATTTACCTCCGATCTTCAGCCGCGTTTATGAAAACTCTCTAGAGAATATTTTAGAATGAATTTCGTCTCATCAGCATTACCAAGAATTTCGTAATATTCGAAAATATGAATATTATTCTAAAAATTTCACGTTATTGTTAATGGAAGATTTTTATTTTCCTGTAGGTAGTAATAATAAAGCAAAATTATAAAAATTAATCAATGTAATTATAGTTTTAATTACTGCATATCATGTAACCTTATTTGGATATATTTTGAACATTCTCACGTTTTATCAACCGGTTGATAATCATTGCTTACACCTGTAGGGCGAACAAATTAATAATTCATATTGCTGATTGGAACATAGGATTATTGCAATCAAGGTTATCTCGTCAACATAACGAGGATGTCGTGCATCATAGTTTTATTTCCGTACTCGAAGCATTATAATTATTATAATACGAACATGTGCATTATGCAGCATATCAAACTGTACGAGTATATAGTTACGCGGATTGTAATTCTCTGAAAGTGCGTTCCTATTACAAAAGCGCTTTTAGAATAGAATATTTCCGCAAAATATTTACAAAATTTTTAATAAATTACCAGAATTTTTTGGAATTATCTAAAAAATTTATAATGAAGTACTTTTTAAAAAATTCTCTTATTTTTTTAATACGGTTTTGTTAATATATTTCTTTATTAACTGTTTTATAACAAATAAAATACCATTTACAAACTTTGACATATTAATGTCTAACATATATAGCTTTTCTAAAATATAATTTATAATACATATTCTAAAAATTGTTAGGTCATTAAAAAGATTATAATAATCTTTATATCCGATATTCAAGCTTTTTCCGGAAAATTTCCAGAACATATGCAGCGTCTTGAATATTCCAGAAAAAGAGGCTCTGCATGATGCATTTGCTATGCCGGGCTCGACTCGACCGTAAATCTGCACACGACTAGCAAGCTTGATATAAAAAAGCATGAGGTATAATTTCGTCTTGCGAAACAGCAGAGAAAAGTAGTTGCCGATTGGTAAATCATAACTTTTGCCAACTATTTTTCCGCGCGCGTTCACAGTAATAAGTTATTTTACGTAATACTAGCGAATCTCGTATGGTCAAGGAAGGTAATCGCTAGATATAATAATTGCATGTAAATAGTGATTACAACTGTCTATCCGCTAACATTGAAACATTTTTTTATATATATGTTTTATAAAT